CTTGCATTCGATATACAACAAAATCAATAAGATTACATTTGTAAAGCGCATTTCACGTTGGGAGGATGTCCCAAGGCGCTGGACAGACAGAATTACGGACCCAAGCTAGGGTCGGAGTTTGGGAGGGTGGAGAGCAGTGGGGGATGCAGGGAGATCGAAAGCAGGTTGAAGAGGAGGGTCTTAAGGTGGGTCTTGAAGGTGGCCAGTGAGGGGGTGAGGCGAAGGGACTACAGGATGGAGTTCCAGAGGGTGGGGGCAGAATGGTGGCAGGCCCACCCCCCAATAGTGGGGTGAGCAAGACGGGGGACGTGAAGGAGGCTGGAGCCCGCTGAGCGGAGGGAGCGAACAGGGTGGTAGGGGGTTAGGAGGTCGCAGAGGTAGGGGGGAGCAAGATTGTTGAAGGCGTTGAAGGTGTGGAACAGGATCTTGAACTGTATCCTCTGTGTGATGGGAAGCCAGTGGATTTGGGCAAGGATGGGGATGACAAGGTCGTGGAGCCTATTGCAGGAGAGGACACGGGCTACAGAGTTCTGGATGATCTGCAGCCTGTGAGGGAGGAGTTGGGGAGGCTGACAAGCAATGAGTTTGCATAGTCAAGCTTCAATGTAATGAAACCATGCATGAGGGTTTCGTCAGGCTGCGGTGTGATAGTAGTGGAGCTGTGCGGAGGTGGGGGAAGCCAGAGCGGGTCATGGCACAGATGTGGAGTAGAAAGAATAGTTGAGGGTCAAACAAGATTCCAAGGTTCTGGACTTAGCATGGTGGGGTGTGCAACCATGGATGGTGATGCTGTCAGTGCCTGAGGTGAGGAGGCGCTGACAGGAGTTAATCAGGAGAGCCTCGGTCTTGTTGATGTTTAACTGAAGAAAGTTACCTCTCATCCAGGACTTGATGTCTGACAGACATTCTGTCAGGACAGCAGCGGTCCTGGAGTCAAGGGTGGAAGCAAAGAGGTAGATTTGGGTGTCATCCGCATACATGTGGAAGTTGACCTCATGTCTGCGGATGATGTCACCAAGAGGGAGTATATAGATATTGAAGAGGAGAGGGCCAAGGACAAAGACCTGAAGAACGCCGCACAAGACAGTGCGGGGGCTAGAGGAGAAGCCGTTTGTGGGTATGAAGTGCAGGTGGTGTGAGAGGTACGATCTGAACCAGTCAAGGGCAGCGCCGTTGAGGTGAGAGAGGCGGTGGATGAGATTACAGTGATTGACGGTGTCAAAAGCAGCAGAGAGGTCAACTAGGATCAGAAGGCAAATGGAGCCCTGCTCACAGATGGACAGAATGTCATTTGTCACTTTGACCAGGGCTGTTTCTGTGTTGTTGGCAGCACGGAAACCCAATTGGAGGGGTTCGAGAACGGAGTGGCGGGAGAGGAAGGAGCGAATCTGAGAAACAACAACTCATTCCAGTACGTTGGAGAGGAAGGGGAGTTTAGAGTTGGGGCGGTAGTTAAGGAGTAGAGAAGCGTCCAGGGAGAGTTTTTTAAAGATAGGCGTGATCTAAAATCACATGGTTCTCACCTCCTCCACCTACCCGACCTCCACCTAAAACTCTCCAATCCCGTATGCAACCTAGGTGTCAGGTTTGACCCCCAATTATCCTTCTTCCCCCACATCCAATCCCTCACCAGCACCGTGTTCTTCCACCTCCGACGCATCACCTGTCTTTGCCAATACCTCACTCCAAAAGCAACTGAAACCCTAGTCCATGCCTTTGTTACCTCTCGGCTGGACTATTCAAATGCCCTCCTTGCCGGTCTCCCCTCCACTACCATCCATAAAATCCAGGTCATACAAAACTCTGCCACCTGCATTCTTACCCGCACCAAACTCCGATTCCCAATTACCTCATCCTTGCCAGACTGCACTGACTGCCTGTCCCAGAGAGGATTGGCTTCAAGATCCTCACCCTTGTCTTCAAATCCCTCCACTCATCTCTCATCTGCACCCCCCTACCTCTCTGACTTCCTCTCTCCTCACAACAGTACCTGTTGCCTTCGTTCCACTGGGTCTGGCCTCCTCCTTGTCCCCCAAGTCCTCCGCTCCACCATCGGCGGCTGTGCCTTCAGCCACTATGCCCCGAGGCTCTGGAACTCCGTTTGTAATTGAGGATGTCCAGCATCCCCTCGCATTTGGCATTTGAGGTGAGGCTGGGTGAGTCGTGAGAGGGTGGCTGAAGGAGCCATTTTGTGATGAAGAGGAGCCTGGGGTTGTCCTTTGCATTCAAGATTGTCTTGGAGTGGAATGACGATTTAGCAAAGGTGAGAGCAGAGCAGTAGAATTTGATATGGTCCAGCCAGATCTGCTGCTGGACAGTTATGTTTGATTTAAGCCAGGTTTGCTCAGCGGAGTGCACGTCAACTTTAAGGGAGCAGAGGTGGCTGGTGTACCAGGGTGACTTACATGAATAGGAGACGGTTCAGAAAGAGAGGGGAGTGAGGGAATTAAGAGTGGAGGAGAGGGAGCTGTGGAGAAGGGTAACCGATGAGGATAGTTCATTGCAGGAGGACGCCCAGAGAGGAAGGAGTTCAGGAGTTCCAAGGCAGCTGAGAGGGAGGGGAGCATATTTTTTTCCAGAGGCCGTATGAGATGGAGTTGGCTTGGGTGGCGGTGGGGAGAGGGATTGAGGAGTTAAGGGAGATTAAGTGATATAGTGCCTTATCGTGTCTTTGATCTGTCTCAAAAGTGCTTCACAGAGTACACTGTAAAGTGAATTGACTGTTTTCTGGAGCAAGGAAAAAAATATTACAGGCCAGTGGGGTTTGTTAGCAATATTCACAAGATCACGAGATTGGTCTGGATGTAGAATACTTTGCATATTCAATCTCATCCCTCCACAACACTGATCATACCATCATTGCCTCCAGCTATTTTTTAATTAAGTCTAGTGTCCTGGCTCCAATTTTCTGTCCTTGCAATTTGTTCCAATTATTGATTCCCCTCTACGTGAAGAAAACACTTTCCCTTCAGATCTTACTGATTCAATGTCCATATCTTACCCTTGATATCCAGCAACCACTGTTTATTGAGGAGATTTTGATGTGGTACTTAGTTAAACACCTTTTGGAAGTATGCTACGTTATCTGCTTCCCAAAGTTAATTTGGGCTATCACCTCCTCAAAAAAGTCTATGTGATTGCTCTGGTCTGATAAAGACCTACTCTTTCTGAACCTGTGTTGACTGTAAATGATTAGCTTATTTTTTATAGCTAATCTTCCACTTCCTTTCTGGTGATTGACTCCATAATTGTTCCTATTATCCAGACTGATACATGGTGTTCCTGTTTTGAAGTCACGTTAATGTTTCTGTAGTTGCCAGGTTTATTTTGTCACCCTTCTTAAAAACTAAAATCTAGAAAGACTTAACCTTCTTATGTTATCATTTTGAATTATGGTTGAAATTACGGTTTTCAACTAACGATATATCTGGCCTTGTACACAATTCTCCCACAAATTTGTGCTAACTTCCCAATTTACAAATGTTCCCAATTTTTCTGCAGTTTGTCTGAATGAGACCTTTCCCCATTCTGTTAAGTACGAACACATTTAAAGTGTATTAACAAAAACAGAAATCACTGGGAACATTCAGCAAGTTAGGCTGTGGAAAAAGGAAAGTGAGTCAACATTTCAGGTCCATGACCCTATGCTGCCTGACCTGCTGAGTGTTCCCAGCAACTTCTGTTTCTGTTTTCAGATTTCCAGCATCTGCAGTGTTTTGCATTTTGTTTAGTTTATTATCGTTACGTGCTACTTTACAGGCTATTTTTTAATCAAATTTGCACTGCAACATGGCTACAGACAAATGCTTAACCCCTCTCCCCCAACTCTTCAGTGTTATTTACTACATTACTCAGCTACATGTGTTCTGTGTTATTCCTCCGTGCTCAAATAGTAGCTCCTTCTCTCACCAACCACAAGAAGTAGAATCGCTTACACTGGAAGTGGAATATTAAAGGATAGGGGAAAGAGCAGAGGAATGGTATTATAGTAGGTAATTGCAGTGAGGGAGGTAATACCATCTTAGCTGTAATAAGATGCATTTTATTCTTTGTGCAATTTTGTCTGTAACTGAAGCCACATTGTATGTAAAGAATTAATTCTGGGCATTTAGCACTGGTAAGTGGACACAATTTCAGGCTGGAATTCACTATCATTTCAAGCATTCCCAAGTCTGGTTTAGCACAAGTAGATGCAGATCAAAGCTGCACTGATTAACACTCTACAACAGTGCAAAACAGTCAACTGCAATCAGTGCCTCTTGCTCTGCTACATTTCTCACTCTTGCCACTCATCCTTCCAGCCTCTTTGAATGAAGTGATCATTTTGTGCTGAATTGTACTTGCCTTCATAGGAATCTGGCAATTAAAATACAAGAGATTTTAAATTCAATCAATTCAGGCTGGAACACAAATCAGCTATGAGCACTAATTAGACAAGCTTGGACTCAAGTCTTGAAAAAATGCACCCAAGAAAGGACCGTGTAGAAGTATATAAGTTTTAAATGCAATTGAGAAAGTAAACCCAGACCGACACTTAGGATGCACTAACGCAGCAGACACCAGGAAACAAGTTTAGGGTTGCAAAAGACAATTTCAGAACAGATACCAGGAAGTATTTATTTCTCCGTAGGATTGTTAAAGACAAGAAGAGGTTATGAGGAAGGGTGATTGAGGCTTTAAAAACAGTTTGATGCTACAGTGGAAGGCCACTAGAGTATGTTTTCTGGAAGCATTAATCAAATTTACCAAAGGGCTTCCTTCATTCAAATTTTTCTTGTAATCTTGTAATAAGAATACAGGTCCCAAAGGTGAAAGCAGAAAGGTTCAGCTCGGGTGCTGTCCAGCTCCATGAAACATGCTTCCAACATGAAAGGAACTATATAAATGTAATTTTGTTGTTGTTGTTCAGCCCACTCTGACAAGTTTCTTGATCATATTTTATTTACTGAGTATCCTTCAGCAAGGTAGTTGACCAAAACACATTTTAGGTAGTTGTCTCATTAATATTTATTTAAAAAAAGATGCATGGAATTTCAACACCTATTGTGTGTATGTAAACCAGACAACGCACTTTATTGTACAAATACCACGGAACACCAACTGCATTTACATTAGAAATCAGAAACTTTTACATGGAATGCTTTAATTCTGGGAGAGACATACCAAAACAGGCAAAAAGTCAAGGTAAGCTACAGCACTTTCTCATACAAAATGTACAAAACATCTGATGCTAACTAGACAAGTTCCTGTGTTGCTCTTTCCACAGTTTTAACACTTATTATAAAAGTACCAATTTGTGTTTTATTTTAAACGGAAAAGGTTTTTCTCTTCAGGTCACTTCTGTCATTGATGCGGAGTGGTTCTGTAAGAGGACAAAAGAAGAGATCATGTAAAGAACATTACAGATGATTCACAAAAACAAAAACACAGACGTGGGGATAACACACACACTGCAAAATAATGCAACTTCATTGGGATTTCAATGTAATTATTTGTAAGCATTAAAACAACATCCAAGTTAAGTCCAATTCTTACCTCACTTTGCTTTGGTTTTTAGATTTTTAAAAACAATCCAAATGAATTAAATTTCAATTGTCAGTTCAATGTTGTGTACAACTGAGATGCAACTCCAATGTACAATTGCATTGTTTGTTAACAGTGACAATCACACTGCCAGCAGACAAGAGTCCCCATTGAATGCATCAGTTGCAGTGTGCAGGTGAAAAAAAGGTTGTAGTTGTTCAGACATATAGTGCACCGAACAGCCTGTAAAGGGGGAGTAGGTGTGGGGAATGGGTAAGGGATCACGGTATACTGTACAATACAATAACAGACAGGTCAGGTGTTTGTAACAAAAATGACAACAGAATCGAGCAAGTTATTAAGAAGACGAACGACATGAAATCAAGCGGTTTCACAGTAAATTGCATGGTGTGTGTCATCAGTAACCCCAGCACCAGCGGCTCCAACCAATGCAAGTACATGTAAGCAAATCAGACACAAGTGGGACGAGAAGAGGTGAGACTTTTGCCGAGGTGTCAAACTGAGCTCAGGAAAAGAATCCAGCAAAGACAAACCAGGTAGACATTTTCTTAACCCCTGGAGTGCCACAGGCATGTTTATAAGTTCCTCTCTTAGACTCAGGCAGTCCATCAATTGATTAACAGGGCGGCAATTATTTTCCACAGCCCTGTCAATCATCCATCTCTCGCCCCTCTTTGGTTGGCTGCCTGTCCTGCCCATTTGGAGCTAGTGATAAATCACTGAAAAGAAAAGTTGTTCCCACCTTCCAAAGCGGAGGGTGGAAGCTGGAAGGAAGAAGAGCAAAAGTAAGGCAATGAACTTCAAATTAGAAATAGTTAGAAAAACAGAACAGGTTAGAAATTAGTAGTTAAAAAAAAGTACAAATCAAACAGTGACCAAGAGGAAAGATGTGAAGAAAGCCACAGCAGGGAAGGAAACATTTATTTTTAAATAATTTGGATTTATTCAAAATGTATTTATTAATTGATTTTAGCAGCTTAAGGTTAATATTAGAATAATAAATGCATTTTGTCATTTTATGCAGTTTATCAGTTGGAAATGTACAGGAACTGTTCAGAAGGTTGTTGGTTCAAGCTCTCATTGGGATTGGAATCACATAGTCTAATCTGACACTCCAATATAGGGCGTGTGTTGCATTGTCCTTCGGATAAAATGTTAAACAGAGGTCCAGTCTGCCTGTTCAGGTTGACGTTAAAGATCCCGTGACACTATTCGAAAAGAGAAGAGAGTTTCTCCCAGTGTTCTGGCCAACAATCCACCAAATAAAATTGTTGACTCACTCCTCGGCTGTTTGTGGGAGAAAATTGAGCGCAGACTGTCTGCCGCTTTTCACCCCCAAAATTATACAGCCAATCGACTTTACACTTTATCCTGTGAAGCGCTTTCAGATATCTCAAAGACAAAGAATGACTAACTAGTCAAAGGCACAAAGGAATGGGTGCTGGTCATTGTTCTATATCAGAAAAGTGAGGCTCGAGCATTTTATTATCACTGGGCTATAACTATCAAACAGCTTATAGTCATGGCGTAATAGGCAATTTTATCACATTGAATTGATTCGGATATCTTGAATATTTTACCCCACAGTCCCAGGTGTATTTTTAAAGAATAAGTATAATCTCGCATGTTGTCATTCAGCCAGTGCTACCCAGGTTATTGTGTAATGGGGGAATGGGGAAGAAAGGAATACGAGCAGGAAGGCTATAACTACTGAGCATCGCACCACCGGGTGAACGGGAAGGCACTTCCAAGAGAATTTGTCATTGGGTTGCTGGGAATTTCTACCCATACGTCAACCTGGCACATGCTCCCATGGACTAATGTGAACTCCAAAAAGGGCCAGGGTGGGTGGGAGGGATAAGTAAAAAATAATGCATCTTGCCCAACTGGGGCAACATGTCATTCCATGCACACTCACGCTCCCTCTGTTTTCATTGGGAGAAGAAAGTAGCCATGCAGGTCACCTCTGCGACCTAATCACCTGAAACAGAAAAAGTTCCTGCCTCAAATATGAAAAAGAAAAAGTCAAAACGATGAAACGCAAGATGAGTTGGTTAACCACTTACCTGATTTTTCACTTTTATGTGTGTTTCTCATTTAGAAGAACGGTTTTAGTGTAGAACTTTTGCGTATACGTATGGGAAAAATGTGACATTTCATAACAGATTCAATGGGATAACATTAAATATTATAAGAAACATCACATTTATCACCCCTATTTGTTTTTTAAGGTGCAGGATAATAATAATTATTCTTACATTTGATATAGTACCTTTCACGTCAGGAGGACATCTCAAAGCGCTTCACAGCAATTACTGTAAAATGATTTTTAGTGATTTTTTAGCACCAACATGTTGGCTACAAATAACAGAGTTCCAATTTCCAGTATTTCATCACTGCAATGTGCCTTGGCCCCTATTCTCTGTTGAGCATCCTGCACTGCATTTGTTTGAATTTCCATTCCCACACTAGCTAAGCTTTTGAAGGTGTTCGCCACATTAGTGCCAATTTCTGGGAAGTTTTGTGGTATAGAAATTGTGTTTTAGATTACCCCAATTCATTTCACATTGGATTCCTACACCAGCAGAGAGAAGTGACCTTCATCCCATCAGTCTGGGTCAGGTTGAAGTCTCACTTCCAATGGTTCAAAGACAGTGTGTTGGCCTAATATACTGCCTACTTCTCTTGTTGAACTACGTTTACTTTTTTAAAATGATCAATCCAAAATAATGTAGCGCAAAGAATTACAATAGATTTGCTGGCAATCTGAACTGAGTTTGCTCCCTCTGCTCGGCAAAATCAGATCTGCTCCCACCTGATCCACCTAATGGGTGAGCTTTCAGCCATTCTCCCCACCTTCGAATCCTGTGTTAAGACTTATTTTTCTAGATCACTCATTGGGTCATCTTCCCCTTCCCCCGCAACCTCCTGAGTGCCTCCCCCACCCACCTTCCCATAGCTCAGTTGCCTGAAGTGCTTTAAGACATCCTCCCAATATGAAATGTTCCTTATAAATGTATATTGTTGTACTTGCAGTTGAGTTTAGAAGCTTCCACTCAGTCCAGAGTCTTGCGTGGATCAGGGTTTGGGTTTCACTATGTTTATTCACCAAAGTCCCAGTAAGAAATCATTTTACAAAACCATGGTGACACCACTGAGCTTTAAATGCAACTTGACTGCAACATTGCTCCAGTATACTTTGAATTGCAGGAACTTTGCTGAATTGAATACTGGGTAGACACTATTCACTAAACCTTTGGCAGAGATAAAGCACATTTGTAGATCGGAAAGTGTGCTGAAACACAACATTCAGAGGGAGGGCGACATCATGAAAACCATAGAGTGCAGATTCCCTGTGAACACTGAACATCAACCATTTTCCCATATAATGTTTAGGTGTTGTCCAATTTTACCTCAACAGTGATGGTTTATAACAGGGCCCTTCTGGCATGTTACAAACAAAACAGTACACAAAAAAATAAGGCGATGCTAGTAAAGCACGAATGAAACAAAGTTTTAAAGCATGGACAATGCACATTTGTGGATTGCCGCTTCCTTGTCTAGTGTTGTCTGGGGACACTCGAAGGGGAATCGAGAGGCAGTTCTGAGCAGAAACAAATGAACACAAACACCAAAAAAAAGAGGTCCACCACAAACATCAACTAAACTGGGACGACCTGAAGTGGAGAAATAAAAATGCGACATGAATGTTACACTATTGCCAGATTAACGTGGGCGACTGGAGGAAACCATGCACCTAGGAGTAACAGAGGGAGCAGAGGCAGCTCAAGCTGTGACAGTGTTAGACTCATCATCCCCCTTTAGCTCGTGAGCGAGGTCCATCCTTGCACGGTGATTGAGTGTGTACCTCCTGGTGAGTTGGGTGTCTGTCTGGTCCTGAAATATTACCCTGGGACGAAACACCCTCTCTCGGGGGGTTTGACGACGTCTCCCACTTTGCTGTCATGCAGGCATTAAGGAAAGAAGAGCCATGTTGTGAAAAAACTGTAATCAGCATGAACATAGCATGGTACTTATACTGTTTGTGAATCAACACCAGGAGGTTCAAGGTTTGCCAGTTCAATTATGGCAGATCGATCAACAATTATGTTCAAATTCCACTCAGAGCCGTTCACGCCTCCGTCTGTGATCGGCAACGTTCTGCAAACTGGCAACAACACAATACACCGGTACCACAGCACTGGGCTTAGCAAAATCCAAACAATGTCAATCAGCGTAACATATTCACAGTAGCTTTGTTATACATCTGCAGGGAAATACGAGAGTGTGGATCCACTAAAGCTTCATGAATTGAGTCTAAAGCATAAAAGGCACAGTTGTTCGAAGAGAAGCAAGGAGTCATTCACAGCAAATACAGCTGTCACCGCTGTATAACTTATGCTTGGTGGGAATTGACTGCAACGTGAATGGCATTTCAAGTAAATGTATAACTTTAGGTTTGGTCTGCCTCATGTGGACGTAAAGGGATTTCTCAACCATTGCTGCTGGAAAGAAATGTAGAATCGTACTCCCAGTTATCCCGTATGAAAATTCTCCTCATCGTACAAATTTAACCCAAATCCAAATGAATTGGCTTCTGCCCTCAATGTTGTTTACTGGACGACACTGATATAGATTTGCAGAGAGCCCAGCAAAGTGAAGAAGGAACTAAATGAGGTGGAACAGAATGAGAATTCTGTTAGAGAATTAGGTGAGAGTGGGAATTTGGTGCAGAGGGGGAAGGAGGTGCAGGTGAGAACTTGTTTCGATCTCTTTGTAAAGGAGAAACAGAACCAATGAGAGAGCTCAGTGCGGGAGTCTTTTCTGGGCCTGCGGGAGATCGGAGAGTGAAGTCAGGAGTAGAAAACAGGACCTTGAAGATGGTAATCTTCGGATTGCTACCCAAGCCACGTGCAAATTGGCAGAGATAAAGTTTGATGTGAGAAGGAGGTGATCCATTTCATGGGACACTGGCACTAGTACTGGGACAGGAATGAGCTGTACTGCTGGGATGGGCTGCACATGAACAGGGCTGGGACTAAGGAACTAGAAGAACCTCAGGTAGTAAAGGCAACACATTTCTAGACTGTATTCAGGACAGCTTTTTGGAACAATATGTTTTAGAACCAACAAGGGAATAAGCCATACTGCATTTGATGAGTAATGAGCCAGAACGAGTTAACAATCCAACAGTAAGAGAACATCTTGCAAATAGTGATCATATATTAGATTTGAGAGGGAGAAGGGAGAGTCCCAAACTAAGGTTTTAAATTTAAGTCAGGCAAATTTCAATGGGATGAGAAATATATTGACCAAGGTAAACTGGGCTGAATTGTTAGTGAGTAAACCTGCAGATGAACAATGCAAAGTATTCAAAAAAGTATTTGATACAATACAGAACAAGTACATAGTCCTAAAATGCAAAAGCTCCAATAGTGTAGTTAAGCAACCATAGTGGACAAAAGAGGTTAGAGACTGTATCAAGCTAAAAGAAAAGGCTTACTCAAATGCAAGAAAAAGTGGGAATGCAGAGAACTGGGAGAACTGCAAAAGGCATCAAAGGAATACAAAGAAAGTAATAAGAGGAGCAAAAAGGGAGTCTGAAAAAAAACTTGCAAGGGATATTAAATCCAATAGCAAAAGCTTTTATAAATATACCAAAAGAAAGAGAATGAATGGTCAAGGGGAACGTGGGTTAAAGACAGATGTAGGTGAGACTATAACGGAAAATAAGGAAATGGCCGACTTGTTAATTAATATTCGCTATTATTTTTACAGTAGAGGATGAGGACAAGTCAAAGAGAAATGCTTAATAAAATTTATATAAATAAAAAAAGGAAATGGAGAAAATAATCAGACTCAAGATAGACAAATCTCCAAGACCTGATTGTTTCCACCTGTTAAAGGAATTATGAGACGAATTAGGAGAGGAAATTGCGGATGCATTCGTAATAATTTTCCAAATCTCACTAGATTCGGGAATTATGCCCTTAGCTTGGAAAATTGCGAATGTCACCCCTTTATTTAAGAAGAGAGGGAGACAGCAACCAGGAAACTACAGACCTGTCAGCTTAACGTTGGTTGTAGGGAAAATACTGGAATCCATCGTCAGGGACGATGAACAGGGAGTGACTGAACACTTGGACAGGTATGAGCTAGTCAAAGAGAATCAGCATGGGTTTGCGAAGGATAGGTCATGTCTGACTAATCTTGTTGAATTTTTTGAGGAGGTCACTAAAATGGTGGATAAAAGGGTATCTATGGATATTGGTTATAAGGATTTTCAGAAGGCATTTAATAACATTCCAAACAAAAGATTATAAACGAAAATGGAAGTGCATCAAGTCGATGGTAACCTTATGGTGTTGCTTGGTAATTAGTTGGGAGACAGGAATCAGAGAGTAGGGATAAAGGGACCATTCTCTGATTAGTAGATGTGACAAGTGGTGACCCCAGGGGTCTGTACTGGGACCTCAGCTATTCGCCATATATAAATGACTTGGATGAAGGAATAGAAAGTTTTATATCCAAGTTTGCAGACAACACTAAGCTAGGAGGCTCAGTAAGTTGTGTAGATCTAATAATAATCCCTCCAAAACAAAACAATAATAAATTGGTCATTTTCAATCTACGACTGTTTGTGGGACATTGCTGTGCGCAATTGGCTGCCGCGTTCGCCCACAAATATACAGTCAATTCACTTTACAGTGTGTTCTGTGAAGCGCTTTGGGACGTCCTCCCGACGTGAAAAGCGCTATATCAAATGCAAGGATTATTATTATTTAGATGGGAGTAGGACGTTACAAAGGGACTTGGACAGATTAAGTGAGTGGGAAAAGCTGTGGCAGATGGGAGCTCAATGTAGGGAAGTGTGAAGTTACCCACTATGGACAAAAAAAATAAAGCAGAATATTTTCTTAATGGGGTGAAGTTAAGAACTGTGGAGGAGCAAAGGGATTTGGGTGCCCATATCCACAAATCACTAAAAACTAGTTCCCGGGTGCAAAAGTAATCAAAAAGGTGAATGGAATGTTTGCCTTTATCTCAAGAGGTCTGGAATACAAAGGGGAAGAAATGATGCTTCAGCCGTAGAGAGCGTTAGTCAGACCCCATCTGGAGACTGCGTTCAGTTTTGGGCACCACACCTGAAGAAAAATATATGGGCTCTGGAGGGGGTGCACCGCAGGTTCACCAGAATGTTACCAGGCCTAAAAGGGTTGTTACGAGGAAAGGCTGCGTAAACTTAGATTGTATTCCCTTGAGTTTAGAAAGTTCAGGGGTGATTTGATTGAGGTATTTAAGATAATAAAGGGATTTGATAGGGTAGATACAGAGAAGCAATTTCCTCTTGTGGGGGGAATCCGAAATGAGGGGCATAGTCTTAAAACTAGAACCAGGCCATTTAGCAACAACAAGATTACATTTGTATGGTGCTTTTCATGTTGGGAGGACGTCCCAAGGCGCTGGAAAGAGTACAACATTTCAGACCCGAGCTGGGGTCAGGGGGGAGAAGGGAGGGGAGGGGAAGGGGGGTGACCAATGGCATGGTTGAAGAGGAGGGTCTTGAGGCAGGACTTGAAGGAGCCTAAGGAGGGGGCGAGGTGGAGTGATTGGGGGATGGAGTTCCAGAGGTTGGGGGCAGAGTGGCTGAAGGCTCTCCCACCAATGGTGGGGCGGGTGGGTCGCGGGATGTGAAGCAGGCCAGAGCCAGCTGAGCAGAGGGAATGGGCGGGTTGGTAGAGGGTAAGGAGTGATTTTTACGATTTTAAGAGTGAAATCGGGAAGCATTTTTTCGCTCAAAGGGTGGTAGAAATCTGGAATTCTCACCTTGAAAAGGCCGTGGATGCTGGATCCATCCACACCTTCAAGAGTGTGGTTGATAGATTTTTGGTAGGTCAGGGTATTAAGGGATATGGGGAGAAAGTGGGAAATTGGAATTTAAAAGATTAGTTGAGGTACAGATCAGCCATGATCTAATTAAACGGTGGAACAGGCTCGATGGCCAACTCAATAGGTTCAGCATTGCCGACAGACAGTGAAGTAATAAACCCTAACATAGCAAGGTAGGAAAAAGGAAAACATAGTATAAAGCGTGCAACACTTTGGGGCCTTTCCTTTTAAGTTTTTACTTTATTTTAATTTTCTCGTGAAAAAAATTAAAAACCATGAATTGAATTAGGAATTGAGGGGGTAAAACAGTCTACTATTTTTAAGGTGAACTCAGAGACCTCCATAATAATAATAAAACTTAAGTAAATAAATTTGCATATTGATTTTGGAAAATGTTCACCTGGGTCTGAATTTACTTCATTCACATGGTATTTCAGAGCGTACAGAATTTGGCAAATTGTTGTATTCAGTCTTAACTTTGAAGTCGGGTGCCTGAAGTTTATAATACAAACTTACAACAATCCAGCTATGAAATTAAGGTTGCCCTTAAGAATTTACCAAATCTTGAATTCAAAAATGTGACACAAATGCAAAGTGCAAGTTGCTGCTGTTGTTTTTGTTATGTCTCACACAGGGTATCAATGGTTGATGTCAATAGAAATCTCTCACCTGGTTATTAATAGATATCGCTCACACTGGATATTATTCAATATCAGTCTCAAGCCAGTCAGTATCATTCAGATACCCAGATTTTAGTTACTGCGCTATCAGGGTAACTCACTTTCAGCTGAAGTCTACCTGAAATCATTCATTTTTAAACCCAATAAAGATCAGATGTTGGACAAAACTTTCAGTTTGGCCCTTTATGGGACTTCTCTCTTAATGGGCAATCAAGCCTTTGATAACGTTAGAGCAAGGAGTACCCACACTCACAGACATGGTGGGCTGAATGGTCTGCTTATGTGCTAAAGTTTCTATGTGATCATATTTAGTGTTGTGAGAATTTCTAGTTGTCTTAACTGTTACTCAGCTGTATAGAGTTTGTATGTAAGTGCTTGGACATCAAGAATAAAGGCATCTTTGCAGTGTTAATACAGGACCACAAAGTGGAGGTGAGATTCAGTGGCTTACCTGAGCACTCAACGTTTCAAGTGGGCTTTCCACCCGAGGGAATGTCATCAATGGTAGTCCATGGGGGTCTTCAGGTTTAGGTTTAGGCGCGGTGGTCTGCAATCCTTTGAAGTTGTGAACAACACATATTCCCTGGCACAAATGGGACATTTATGATAGCATTGGACTAAAAATATTTTGATTGCAAGTGAGGGGTGGGGAGGAAGGAAGGAAGAGGCAATCATTTTCCTAAGAAGGACCCTTGCAAGTCATAATGATTAATGACTTTATACAGTATATCTTGTGAAATGTGCTAGACTAAATGCAAAGATTATTATAATTATTATTATAATTAATTGTGTCCCCCATTCCACTAGCCGCTGTCTCTGCTCGGCTGTCTGGCCTCCTGCTCGGCCCTCTACTCGACCATCAGCAGCCATGCTTTCAGCTGCTTCACCCCAAAGCTTTAGAACTCTCTCCCCCAATCCCTCTGCCTTGCCCTCACTTTTCCTTCTTTTAAGTGACGAATGAAGGCCTTCCTCTTTGACTCTGTTTAAGGTCACCTCTTCCCTCCCCAGCGCTCTGAGACTCTGCCCTGCATGAATGGCACTATATAACAACAACAACAAACTTAACATTTGTATAGCGCCTTTCATGTCTGGAAGTCGTCCCAAAGCACTGGACAGTCAGGGATTCGCACCTGAGCTGGTGGTTGGCGTCAGGTGGGGTGCAGGGCGGGGATGGTAGGGGTAAAAGGGTGACCAAAGGCACGATCGAAGAGGAGGGTCTTGAAGTTATTGATGTTGGAGCTACTGTGCTTGAACATGGGAGGCAGGTGCACAAGGTCTCACAGTCTAGGCTGACAATCCAGTGCATTACTAGACAGCACTGCATTCTCAGAGATGCTGCCTTTAGGATAGGATGTTAAACCGATCTACCATCTGCCTATATTTAGATTGAGATTGCAGCTCAATGGTGAAGCCAAAGGCTGTAGAGCTCATAAGGGACATGGAGAAGGCAGGTCAAGGCGTCTGAGAATCTGAAAGGGGACAGTAAATACATTTTTCTGCTCCTAAAATTTTGATGTTTGTACTTGCAATTTAAATTATTTGATCTAATTGACCTGTGTTTCTTTAATCTTTGACAGACTAGATCCAAGTCGCGTCACACTTAAGTTGCAACAGACTTACCAAAAACAGAGCTACTGTGGTGCCCAGGACAAAGCCTGCAATCACATCAGAGCAGTGGTTCCGGTACTCAGAGACGCGGTTTAGTCCTGTTAAAAAGGCAGCACAGAGTGCTCCCAAGCACAGGACCGGCTTTGCTAACCTGCTGCTTTTAGTCTTTATTGTGCTTGTGATGTACATCTGAAACAGAACAGAGACACATCAGAAATTAACTGGATGGACATGTGTCCTGTAAGAAATAAATAACATGGCAATATGCAAGCAACATTAGGGAGGTTCGTGGAACCCTGATCTGGCTATTCGTCACTCACTCTATGGTTGTTTGTTGGTCATTCACTGGACCAACAGAAAAGTGCGGCTGCAGTTTTTCCACGGAAAAAACACCCCCTCCACTACTAACCTGTCCACAGTGTGCTAGGCCCTGTACCTCTCGCGCTGTTTGCTCGACGCTGCTACCGTGGGTGGAGCAGCTCTGGTTCCCCATGCGCGGCAGGGGGAGTGTTGAAATCGACTTTGCCCGGCGTCCGAGGCCTAAACTGGGCTCCTGCGACCAATTCTTGGTAAGTGCTGTACTATTCAAATTAACATTTTTATTATTTTAAACATAGCTACATGTTCAGGAAATATATGCCTATAGTTTTAATCTGAGTTGTTTCACAAAATGCGTCTCTCCGTAGCATCAATCAATCCTCCACAATTAACTGGAAAATTTCTCCCCAATTCTCCGCAAAATTTGTCAAATGCCCCGCAATGTTTGGCAAATATTTCCACACTTTTTCTTTGGTCCAGATCATTGCTCTGCACAACGGGCTGTCGGGTTTCACCCACAAAAGGCACAGTCAATCCACTTTGCAGGATATTCTGTGAAGCGCTTTGAGACATCTCAACAACGTGATAAGGCGCTATATTAAATGCAAGGATTATTATTTATTATTATTATCTGAGACTCAATAATCCTCCTTTGGAACACTCACTTACTCTAATTGTAAGGTGGATATAAAGGATAGCAGATATTATTCTACAAATACACTGTTCATCTTTTGTTTGGATCTTTTACTCAAATATTGTGATCCAGTGAAAAGTACAGTCGTACAATAAGAAGTGAACTTTGCATTCATATTAAGAAACAAACACAAGTTGACCGCTAGCGGGCACTAAGCACATACAGTTTGATCATTTCCCAACAGAGCTTCTGAAAATTGTTAGTGTGAGCATCTTTGAAGTATAAATATGAACTCTGCCCCAAGGGATCTAAGGATTGAAATTCCAGTGTTTTTACCTGGAAGGCACTGATGATTTTTTAAGTAAAGAGTGTGATTTTTTTTTAACATGGGAATATTAAGGCAACCCCGGTTCACCACATGAATACTCGTTTCTGGAGTGTGCATAAGTCAACACCAAAGAACAGCCTCCAATACATTCAAACATTTTGCAATGCTGATGTAACACCAGAATTTTGATCTGTTATATTTACTAATTCGCTAACAGTGATGTTTGGAGACGTCTGAAAATGCAGGAAGTCCATGACATGTTCATGAGGACAGCAAGGATGTGGAGTTTAACCTCATAGAAAGAAACTTGTTTAAGTCCACATCATAAATATTAAAGTAAAACCTTAAACTGCAATTTGTTTATTAATCCATCTCCAAGATATATTTTAGTCTAATTATTTTCAAATACAGACATCATTTTATCAATGGCTCTTCTGTGCTCTTTTAGCGTTAATCATGTCATTGCAGCACAGTGAGATGAAGCGAGATTATCAGTTGGGTTTATCTTGATCCAATTGATTCACTGAAGGATGCAATTTGTCCTCAAGGTTACACCTATTTACTGTATAGAAACATTGGATTGTCTCCCAAAGTCTACAGTAAGACAGGCATCACTCATCAAGTGAGGGCATGAGAAGGAAATGACTTCATGAAAAGTAAGGTTTAAAACAGTAATTGTTTCACAACCAAATCAAAACCATTTCATTAAATGTCAAACATTCATTTAAACCACGGTCATGAGCAGCAAAATCAATCTTATACTGCCTGACGTTCCAATAACATGCTTGTGTTTAATTCTGAGTGTGATTCTAACTGGGGTTTATTAATGTAGAATGCAAAAAGGAGAAACATGAGTTTCTCTGCACTGCCTCCAGGATGCGTGTTAAATATTAAATATTGCTGTGTTTCCATTTAATATGAAACAATATATTCTCTACCACGTGACATGCCTCTGAATGATGAATAAATGAAATAATTAGCTGAGACAAGACTTTGGTAATATTATTCCACCAAGCTGTAGAAGTTATACACTGCTGTGAGGATTTTGAAATCCAATAAAATATGTGGAAACTAATATTTTCCATTAATTCCTGTCATCCCTCTTTATTGTCCTCTGCTACCTTTTTACTCTGTAGGTTTGCCATTCATAGACGGACCACAGTGTGAAAGGAGAGTCTTATCCCTCTTGGATCACTTCCTCCACTGGATTGACCTCTGGTGTTGCCAATGCTGCGGGGAGTAAATGTCTAACAGTGAAAACAACAATGTGATGAATGTGTAGAACTTTCTGTAATTTGTTCCCGGCATTCCCGCCACCACGTCCCCCACTCCTGATTCTGCTACTTTTGTTTAAGTAGCGCAAACTTAGGAAAAGACTGTTTCAAATGTATTGCAGCTCTGCGACCTCCTAACCCCCTATCAACCCGCCCGTTTCCTCCGCACAACCGGCTCTGGCCTGCTCCACGTCCCGACCCACCAGCCCCATCATTGGCGGGAGAGCCTTCAGCCACTCTGCCCCCAACCTCTGGAATTCCATCCCCCAATCACTCCTCCTCGTCCCCTCCTTAGCCTCCCTCAAGTCCCGCCTCAAAACCCTCCTCTTCGACCATGCCATCGGCCACCCCCCTTCCCCTCCCCTCCCTTCTCCCCCCCTGAACCCTGGTCGGGTTTGAAATGCTGTTCACTGTCCAGCTCCTTGGGACATCCTCTCGATGTGAAAGGTGCTGTACAAATGTAATCTTGTCGTTGCTGTTGCAGCTACACCGAATTCAGCATTATTGTATACTGATATCTTTCCTTACATCACACTCAATGTATTATACTCTGTTATTCCGCCACTTACACCACACTTCCCTCTGATACAAGTTGTTGTTTACCTTACTTTACCTGCCACTCTGAGCTCATCCTCACTCTGGAACCTTTTTCTATTTCATGAGTTATTTGATGAAGTGTTACACTGCACTTGGGGCCCTCAGTTATGTCAGTTATGTTAGAACCTTGTTAATTTTCTTATGTTTCAGCGTTCAAGTTCCCCCTATGATCTCACCCCATTTAAACTCTGCAACTTCCTACAACCCTCCCGACACAGTTGCTCCTTTTGCTCAACAAGCACCGGCTCCCACCTCCCATCTTCTCACCCACAACGGTGGGCAACATTTTCAACCTCTCTCTTCTTCCATCTTTCCTCTCCTCACGCCCTTCAGCTCCCACCGTCTTTATGGTCGGCCAACAAAATAAATTTCTTGATTGAATATTTCTTGATATATTCCATAAATAAATGCAGCACTGCTTTAAAACTATGCCTGCTTATTCTACTGTCTTGGTGCAACCTACAGTTGCAAGAGATAATTTCAGGAGACACCAGGAAGTTTTCCTTTACCCGGGGGATAATTCTCGAATGGAACAGGTTGTGAGTAAGGGTAGTTAAAACCAGGATATTTAATTCATTTAAAAAAGCAGCTTGAAGCTGAGATGATACGATGGTCTGGTGGGTTTTCTGGAGGGATACGATCAGATGGGCCGAAACATACGCTTCATCCAAACTAATCTTGTGATCCTAAAGAGTGACCTGATGTGAGAAGCACAGCCAAAAGGCTATGATGGCATAGCAATGTGGGTTAATTAGTGAGAAGGTGGCTTTGTATATTTGAGCCCTGTTATGGTGAAACAGAGCACCTACCGTCGCATACAGAGCAGAGTACACGCTCAACGCCGCATCCTTGGATGGAAAGGATCGTCGAGCCAATGCAACAACATCAGGATCCCCAGTGCAAATGGTTTCACCAGTTATGAAGCGAGTGTGGGAACGGCAGTCAGATCCTGTGTAATTGGGTTTGCAAACAGTAATGAAGTACGGTGTCAGGCTTCCTGTGACCACTTGGCCTGCGTTCACAAATATGTCGGTAGCAAACAAGCCGAAGGCAAATACACCTGTCGGAATGAAGAAGAAAAACATTTAGGAATAGACGACTTGTAGTGTTGTCTGTAGTTTCAGATATAACTGCAACAACTGCTCTCCAAACATGAAACATGCCATATAATTGTAAAATTGTTGTACAGTAAAACTCACATAAGTTATCTTTATAAATCGTACAATCACCTAAGAAGTACCTGCAACCGAATCCCATTCAGTTTTCTATCAAAACCACTCACATTTCTTTGCACTAGTTGTACTAATCCTCTCCTAACTTGTAACACCGCTACTTTATCCTTCATTACTCCTGCACTTATCTATTGAGTCACAGGAAACAGAGTCTTGATCCGTCAGGACATGTGTACTTACTGACTGCAGTGACAAACTACCTCGTGCACTTACCAGCTTCATTCCTGATACCAGGAATGGGGAAGCTTAGCTATGAGGACAGGCTGGAAAAGTTAGGACTTTTCCCATTAGAGCAGAGAAGGTTACGCGGGGACCTGATAGAGGTCTTCAAGATCATGAAAGGTTTCGACAGGCTAGATAAGGGAAAAGCTGTTTCCGCTGGTAGGTGTGTCTGTGACTCGTGGTCATAGTCTTAAGATATCTACCAAAAGAAGCAGAGGGGAGGTTAGAATTTTTTTTTACACTCAGTGAGTTGTTAGAATTTGTAATGATCTGCCTGAAAGGGCAGTGAAGTCCGATTCGATAACAGCTTTTAAGAGAGAACTGGATAGGTATCTGGAGAAGACAGGTTTGCAGGGTTATGGGGAGAAAGCTGGTGAGTGGGGTTAATAAAAGTCAGTTGCTCTGTCGAAGAGCCGGCACAGACTCGATGGGCCGAATGGCCTCCTTCTGTGCCGTAACATTCTATGATTCTATGATTCATTGAATTACACATGTGGAGTGTAGATTATTGATTAAATTGGATTTTATACGATTTATACAGTTTGCCTGCAACTCAGACTTCACTTAAGTCATATTAAAATTATTAAATGTTATGTTCCCGACTGATACAACTTATGGTGAGTTTTACTGTCTTGGGGAGTTCTGGATTGTCGGAGCTTCAGTGTTTCGGATGAAATTCTTGAGAAATCTACTTTAAGTGCAAGTGCAAGATGCAACCAAGTTGAGTTGGCAGGACGAGATTAATAAAGAAGTAGTGTTGGGTGTTTTGCCAGGGCAGAGCCTCTCCGTGTCGTAGATTGGAATGGGAAGTCATCCAGGCAGGTTCTGACTGCTGCTGACTGCTACAACAAGCCTGAGTGCTACTTAGCCGGTTTCACCCATCTGCCCAAAGTGGATGTCGGGATGACACAAGATTTCATTTTAAACACAGGAACAGATTTCTCAATTCAGCTGCAACAATCATCCCACTGAGAGCAGTCCGACAGTCACCAGTACAGCTACCAACACGGACCGTGTGACAGGCAAGCCCAATTACACACTGTTGATTCTAATGTAACTCCAAGCCTATCAGTAACCTGATAAACAAACACTGACCTCAAGGTTGCTAATATGAAGTCATGTGCAGCCAACGCTACCTAATAGTCTGCTAAATCCCATCAGATATCAGCCACAACCTGTCCACAGCAAATTGAACAGCCTGTGGCATCAAGCACTCATGCAACATTCATCAAAAGGCATAAAACAGAGGTAACAATCTAGTGCTGCAAACATCCGAAGCAAAAATCTGGTTCTTCTGGTTGGTTTACACTGAGGAAATGGTTCCTGTAGTAATTTGGAAAAATTGTAATATCTTTTGAAAGACTTATTTTTCCCAATTAAAATAACAGAAGAACAATAATGTGAACATCAGTGAAGTCTCAACACTGATATTCTCGGAAGTGAGGTGCCCTGAATACTCGTGTGAGGATTCAGGCAAAGAGTTCCCCCTGACATGAAAGGCATTGTATCAAAGGCAAGTTTTTTTTTCTGTCACGTTCAAATACCCCAGTGGCTGTTCCTGGCCATTCACCTACACACAGCACAATGATTCAGTTAGCAGTGCAGGGGCTGCTCTCCTGCTCTGGAAACCACAACCCAGTGCCTTCATTGCAAGCTTTGCAACAGCTAAGCCTTCTCTAACCTCCAGTAGCTTCATAATATTGATGCAGCTAAGAGCAGGAGAGACCCAGGGGTAAGAGTGTCACTTTTTATTTGGGCTTAGCTGCAGCAACTTGGCTCTGGCTGAATGGTTAGATGCTTATGCCACAAATCCTTTTAGAACAGTTGAATTAACAATGTAAGATCCCACTTTAATGAAAATAATTCAGCACTGCTCTCATGGGAAATGTAGCCAAAGTTTCATAGAACACACTGACGTAAACCACATCAAGTACTGAAAGGCCTTTAGCTGACAACATTAAGATGTCACTTAAGCAAACAAACGCAGAGTTCTGAGAATGGGGAATTGGAAGATAAATTAGTAATCTACAGGGTACGGCATTATGAAAAGGATCTGGTTAAAAAGAGTAAAAACATGATCACTGATGTATAGCTTAAACCTACAACCATTCTGCCTTCCGCTCTGTAACTCCATGTCAGATTCCCTCTGAATCGCTCTCTCTCCTCTTTCAAGGTATATCTGAAAAGATATCTCTTATTATTCCCCTCCCACCACTCTCAGTTCCTACCCTGAACTCGGGTGCCCCATTCAGCACTGTGAAGCTCTTTGAGATGACCCCGATCGCCCCCCCACCACCCAACGTAAAAGACACCATATCAATTATGCTGTATGGTATTGTGAAGGGATAGAGCAGAAGTCACAATAAGCGATAGTCAGCTTCCAACTAATGCTTTCCCCCACCTGTGTTAGTTCTTTCTGAAAGCACCGTCAACGAGATACACTTTAAAATGTACCTGAAAAGAGGCAAGAAGGTAAGGAGCAAATCAGAGGAACCTGAGAATGGTGTTTATAACTCCAGTTCTCCCAGTCGCTCATCAAGATAAGCCCTTCTCCCAAGGTATTAATCTCGTGAACCATCACTGGACACTCTCCAAGGCTAGTATAATAAAAACTATCATTAAGACACTCTACTCATGTGAACCACGATTGATTCTTTCATTACATGATCATTCTTCCCGAGAGACAGATAAAGTTTCTGAAGGAACATTACATTCACTATCTTTATGTAAGATCTCTCGTTGATTTATATAGTAGGGTCAGAAGTGTGGTGTGCTGTTCTCATCCTGCCACTGAAAGAATTCTCCGTACCCTCACCATCCAATTAACACTTCCCCTCCAAATACATGTACTTGTGAACTGTTTACCACCCAAAAATCAAGGCAAGTTTTTAAAATAACTCACCAATAAATCTAATTATTCTTCGGAAAAGTGGGCTCAGGTAACAGCACTCTCCTGTTACGATTGTCTTCTCTTGAAGGAGGAGGTTTTCCCTGGTTGTTTTTATAAAATACATCGATATCTCACCAATAAAAATCTGCAAAAAATTAAAAAATACATATGATGCATACACATACATAAAACAAACACACACACAAACACACACCAACACATGGACACGCACATAGAGCAACCTAACATACAGGATTGGCAAAATAATGCAAATACTGAACAAAGCTGCAGATTCCTTGATGTGTCTTAGGCCAACACTGGAGCTCTGCTTTGTTTCTTTTCTTGGTTTTGAATTCCATGAAGATTGATGCAGACAGAAGAAGATTGTGCCAGAAATTTTTTTAATTCTTTGCAAATCTTAAAAATTGGTCTGAAAAGTGCCACAGTAGCACTCTTTGCAGGTTTGTTGAATGGAAGTTGAGAATGACACTTATCTTGTTGGTGATAGATCAAATAACAAAATAACAGCTGAGCTGCAGAGCTCCAAGTGCTTCTCAATGAGCCAAGAGACTGAAGAGTGACAGCAGCTTTACGAAAAAATGTCTTTTTTAAGTGAAATCAATTCAAGAGTTTGCAAGACCTCTAACCAACACATTCACCCATAAAATATATAGTCACTGCACTCTACAGTGTAGTAGATCCTGAGAGGCGCTTTGCGACACTCGAATTCATGATAAAATACAATGACAACATCAAAATGATTCTTATTAATAATCACTTGTGTATACACACAAATAGATACAATATGGACATTGAGTTGTGCTCCTCATGGTTAAATGTTAACCAGATCAGGGAGAGTGACATTCAACTTGCCACTAAGTTGAGCAATGTTGACAATGGTACTGAAAATCCTATTGTTTGCAAGCTGGACATCAGTGGGTAAACAGTGACTTTACAGTTTGTAAATGAAATTGCAAGTTCAGTTTCAACAAAAGAGGAAAACAATCCCAATTCCAAAGATCTGGGATCCCAAAGACCCACACGCATCATTTTGCTCCCGACCAGAAAAATCTGGGGAAAATATTCATCCTTTCAATTGAATCTCAGAGAATTAGTATTGCAACAGGTATCTTACTTTATTTTGTCTCAAAGATGTCCTGGATATTTTATGACTTTATGATTGAGTGGAGTATAGTTACCAGTCATACACATTGTCAGGGAGCAGGTCATAATCATAGATTTTTCGATATAGATATTGTCCGACATCAGTAGTACACTGTATGCATGGAGTCACAATCTACCACTGTCAGTTAAGAATGATTGGCATAAATTGCCAAATGTGTAAATTATTTTCTTAAGCAATCTAAAAGATACCCTAGAGTGAATACAAAACAATAATTGAGATTGATATGACAGCTATACACCTCTCAAGAGCTCGCTCTTATGGATTCTGTCTCGATGAAATTACTATCTTGGAATGAGTCCCGAGGAATCAGAATGCTCGCTTAACAGAGCATTTGTTTCAACATGTGCACTGCACAAGAACATCATCACCACAGTATTAACTATTCCACATTCTAGTTACTGCACTTGCATGAACATTTGTAATCTAGTCCAACGTGCAGCTGAATAATTTTTTTTAAAAAATTTCTTCTGATCAGCAAAGACGCAGTCCAAATCACACTTGCAAGGTATGTTCTTTTACAGAACTACCCATCCTAAGGCATCTGTTACTTCATTCACACGACAAAGTGTTTTTCCTGTTATCCAAGAGACATAGCAATTTGAAGGAGACATGCAATTCCAGGCGAGAATAGTTAAGAGTGTCTTGAGACCTTGGCTGTAGCAAACAATAGAGACCCAGAGTATCCTTTCATTCTTTGACATTCATGACATTTTTACATCTCCAGAATCTTGGCAACTCTTGCCTTTGGCAACCTTTGTCATCCTGCCAGCAGCACAGAACAAACGTGTTCACCTCAGCCGTGAAAACCTTCACAATATCACAAGAGAAGTCAGATGAATAAGGCCTTTTGGGAACAGATGGGCCATGCGTATGCTCTTATTTTGCTTGAGTCCAAATACCTGACTGTCCAGTGCCTTGGGACATCCTCCCAACTTGAAAGGTGCTATACAAATGGAATCGTTGATGGTGGTGTTAAGTCAATTGGGTGACATCTTCCGCAGACATGGGGTAAATTTCCACATGTATGCTGATGACCCCCATCTCTACCTTTCCTCCTCTACCCTCAACTCCCCGACCACCGATATCCTGACAGCCTGCCTGTCCGACATCGAGTCCTGGATGAGGGCAAACTTTCTCCAATTGAACGTCAGCAAGACCGACAGCCACCTGATTGGCTCACGTAGCCCTCCGCACCTCAGGCGCTGGCAGCATCAGCATCCACAGCTGCACACTCAACCTAAGCCAGTCAAGAACCTGGGAGTCTTGTTTGACCCTGAATTGTCCTTTCTCCCCCACATCCGCGCCATGACCGGCACTGCCTACCACCACCTCCGCAACATTGCCAGACGCCGCCACTGCCTCACCCCTCAGGCTGCCAAAACCCTCACCCACGCATTCGACACATCAAGGCTCGATTATGGAAACTCTTTCCTCATTGGCCTTCCCAACTCTTTCCTTCACAAACCGCAGATCAACCAAAACTCATGTACTCTCGCTCACCAGGCTCCATGACCCAATCACTCCCACCCTCGCTCGACTCCACTCGCTCCCCATCCCACAGAGGATAGAATTCAAGATCCTCGTCCTCACTTTCAAGGCCATCCATGGCTTTGCCCCCTCCTACCTCTCTGACCTGCTGACTCCCTACCAACTTGCCCACTCCCTCCGTTCAGCAGGCTCCGGCCTGCTCCATGTCTCCCGCCCGACCTGCCCTGCCATCGGTGGCCGAGCTTTCAGCCTGTCTGCCCCCACACTCTGGAACTCCGTCCCTCGGTCCCTTTGCCACGCTTCCTCCCTTGCCTCCTTCAAGGCCAGTCTCAAGACCCTCTTCTCCGATTGTGCCTTCGGTCGCCCTCCCACCTCTCTGCCTTTATTCACCCCTATACCACCCCTCCCCCATGCTTGGGCCTTGATACCTGACTGTTCAGCGCTTTGGGACATCTTTCAGACGTGAAAAGCACTCTCTGAATTAATTTTGTGGTGGTTGTTATTGTTGAAGGCCTGACCGCCAATGGTGGGGCGGGCCAGGCTGGGTTAATGGAGCAGGCCAGAGTCTGCTGAGTGGAGGGAATGGACAGGTTGATAAGGAGTTAACTGTTCAGAGAGGTAGGAGGAGACAAGGCCATGGAGGACCTTGAAGGTGAGGATGATAATTTTTAACTCGATAGAGACCATGAGTATTCTTTGTTCGAGCGCCTCGGGACATCCTCCCGACTTGAAAGGCGTGATACAAATGTAATTTTGATGTTGTTGTTGGTGTTCACCTACCTATTCATTCTTTGATAGCGCTGGAAATCTCCGTGTGATGTGGCAAAGGCAAGCATCCTCGCTGCAACTGTGTCCAGGATCAATGGTTTCTTGTGAGGCGAGGAAGTACCCCTTACAATTGCCTTATGAAAAGAATCCTTGTATTTGATATAGAGCCTAATTACACCATGCAGACATTTCAAAGCGCTTCACAGAATATACTGTAAAGTGAATTGTCTGTATATTATTATTGTAATTATTACACATTTCCACTAACCGGTGCTCTGTCCTACCTGTGTTTGAGGAAGATGCTTTACTGTTACAGAAGATGATGTGTATAAGACATTTTACAAATTGAATGCTCAAAGCTGATTAAATCACACAAAATCAATGATACTGGAGTCTGTTCACCACAGATAAGCAATCCTATTGCATACTTATGGTGTTTATTGGAGCACTGCCCAAGTTACGGGAATCAACACTAAGTGAACAGCTGTGGATTTTATTTGCCTTCAGGATATTGGCACTATATGAATACAGGTGGTTGTTGTTGTTGTTGTGGTGGTGGAGTCCCAGGCTGAACGACATTTGTGTTGTATCTCTCCGCTGCAGCCTGTCATTCAGCAGTGACAGAACTGGCAAATTTGGTCAGTGCTTCAATTCCAGCATCTGTGGAGTTCATGTGCTTGAAGCAGATTGTCACTGACAGGAGAAACTAATGGCACAAAGGCATTCCCAATGAGACAGTGATTGGGGAGGTGTCACTATGAATTTTTTTGGGGAGGGGGCGAGAAATTAAATGATGATGTTACAAAGAACAAATGCAAACTGTCTCAAGAAATAGTGACTTTGTAGAACTTTCACTGAGAGAAAATTAGAATCAAGGAGTCAGAACAGAGAGTTGTGTTATCTGCAATGATAAAAGGAGGAAGTAAACCACACAAACTCCATATATCACTACAGCTTTACTTTCGAGTTGGCTCCAGAACTTGCATTCTGCTCATATCATCAGTTCAGAGAACGGAATTTCTCCTGGTGTCCTGGTTAACAATGCCCCCAAATAAAATTGATCTTCACTTTATGGCTGTTTGTAGGACATTGCTGTGCACATACTTCAGCTGTGTTTGCCTACAAAACACACAGTAATTACACTTTCAATAAGTCCTGCTCCTGATGTGAAAAGTGCTATATCAAATACATGTATAAGAATTATTATTATTCATTCTTCTTCTGAAAAAGCTAGATGGTAACAATTTTTATATAACAAAAATGAATACATGCCAGATATGTGATTGCAAATCTATTGCTAAGTGATCTGAGTGACCAAAATACCCTTATATCAAGAGACTTGAGGACAACGGCACATATTCTCCCTATAAACAAAGCTGAGTACCAGCAATGTGTATGTAGACATAAGGACATCACCTGTCAAAGCACCTGTTGATGTCAAAGGACATTTAACAATAGAATTGCAGTTGCCTTACACAAGTTTTCAGCATTCTACCCATCACTCTTTCCTTAACAAAGGCTCAAGCTTACTTTGTTCGAGACTGGATTATGCTGGACAACTCACAATTTACCCCTTTTGTTTTAAAAAACCTTTTGTTTCATCTCAACGATAGACACATTACCAAAGGACATGTTTCCATGAGAAAGTCAAATTTTGTCTTGTTACCTTGAAAGGGTCATAAAGTATGTAGCAGCTACACCAG